TCAGACGTGAGCTCTTCCTATATGTATGTGAAACCCACGGAGCTCTTAGTGGTGGGAATGTTTTGTTCCTGTCTAAAAACACTAATTCAAAAGGTCTATTCTTGGAGAAAACATGTGTGAAAACATGAACTGAGCATTCTTCCCCTTTAAGATGGCAAAGTCCATTGACTTGGATGTTTTCAAAGCCCAGGAGGGCCATATCTTGCTTTTCAATCACCCACACACATTTTTTGGCAAGCTAATGTGGGCCCACTTTTAAGTACACCCTTGTGTATACAGCTATGTCATGCTTTAAACTTCCGGCATATTGTTAAGACAGGCAGGTGGTGGGTACACCAGTGATCACCGGAAGACCCAAGGGACCCCCCTCTTCAGCCCTTAACCGCCCCCATAATATGGGCCCCCGTGGTTTTAGCTGGGGCATGGCTCACTTGGCAGGCAGCACAAGACACGAGTGATAGCTGATGGACCTTCCAAGCTACATGAGTGTCCAACTTGTTAATGGAGTTCTCTTTATCCAAGAACTATATTTGAACAGCGGACATGGTGCCAATGAAAGAGAGCAGAGTTTCAGATAGATGATTGCTTCTTGGAAGCAGGAAGGACATCTCATTAGGTATTTGCTTTTTATAAAAGTGACATGAGACTGCACACATTAGGTTAGGATGCAAAGAGTTAGACTATTAGTTAGAGGATACATTGTAGTTTAAATGTTTTTCCCCTGACAATTAACATTTATAGTGAAGTTAGCTGATTTATCAAGGTTTGGAAAAAGTTTAAAGCAAACTTTATTTGGGCATTTTGTTGTTCTACTAGGTAATAATACAAATTGTTTGTGAAACACTATAAGAAAGGTTAGAATATTTTCTGTGACATCACATTAACTGTTAGAATACATAATTCTGTATTTGCTCACGTTGGAGTATTTTATTTATTTACCCTTTATTTATACAAGCAGTCTCATTGAGTCACGAGGACTCATTTTCAAGAGTGACCTGTTTGGGAGCAGATGGTGGGGGTTAAGGGCCTTGCTCAAGGGCCCAGAGTGGAGGAAATGTGGGTGGGGGCAGGTGTGGGTTTTTCACTTTTTCCACCCACATTTTGATGTTGTCGGTCCGAGGAGTTGATCCAGTGACCTTCCGATCACAGGTCCACATTCTCTAGCCTCTGCGCCACCACTCCCACAAGAAGTATAAAGCCACAAAATACATGTGCATGATCAAAACTGACAGTCTTTACATATCATAATTGCTCCTATAATCTGTATAATACTAAATTATTTAATGATGAATAGTATTACCTTGCAGAAGTATAAAGTTTTAACCAACAAAGTCCATGCTCAATAATCCTGTTATACAATCCAACAATTTTCAGTCAGGTCATCTGGACCCTTTCTTTTTGTTTTGTGCTGAAACGTTTCACCTTCCATCCAGAAGGCTTCATCAGTCAAGGAAGCACACAACACAAAACTGATTCTTCCCCCAAGTTTTAAGTTTTAAGTTAAGACTCCCTAAATGACAGATGTTGATCCAGATCTGGACCTGAATCAAGTTTTATCTGGACTCAGACTGGTTGATAAGTTTCATTGGAATAAAAAATATAATTTATTTATTTTCTCCTTTCTGTGCTTTTTCTGCAGCTTTTCTACTATTTTCCCGTGGTGCATCTTTTCTACAGTTTGCAGTAATTCATTTCAGGTGGTGTAGCTTTTCTAGCATTTACAGTAATTCTTACAACGGATGGCAACCCCCCCCCCCCCCCCCCCCCACCCCGTAGACAGAAGCTGTTAGCTCATAGAGTTACAGACCTGAAACAGAATATGGTGAAGAAAACTAAAAGAAAGAGAATTTATTTATATAGTCTGGACTTTTGGGGAGAAAAAACCTTTTTTAGGCAACCTATCCGAGTTTTAATTAAACTTCCCCGTTAAGCCGTGAGACAAAATAAAATAGCTTTGTCACTTTTTAAATGGTAAAAAGATTTACTGAGTGATATAAAAGGTCAATATTTGCATCTAAATTGTTTACAGTGAAAGAAACAGCGCATGTGCAAATACAACTAAATGTGTAGTTTTTTTTTGTTTTTTTTTGTGGGGCACTTACTTGTTTTGATATTCCTTGATGACTTGATATATCATGACTTTGAGGGTGATATTGTTGTAGCGGGTGTGACCGCGGTCCTTATAGATCCTGAACTCGGCTGCTGTCACCGCCTCTCCGTCTGGGATCTGAGTCAGGTCAAAACGAAACTCCTTGTAGTGTCGTCTTTGGTGAGAAAAATCTTTATCTTTCTCCACTAGGAAAGAAAACACCACATGAATAACCTCTCGTATTCTTACTGCCAGCAAACCTTAACAGAAAATATGAGTTCACCTCCTGAACTAGCATTACAGAAAGGGGGTGGAAGGAGAATAATTTATCACATCTTCTTTTACATTCATGATCCAATCCAAACATTTTGAGGACCAACAAAAGCACTTTCCACTTCATTAAATCAGTCAACTGAATACAGGTAGCAGCTCCCAAACAGGCCCTCTACTGTGTGCCGCACTGCATTCTCTGGCCATGATGAATGGGCTGTCAGTTAAGAAAAACAGGCTGATTTCAATTAAAGACACTTTCTTCTGCTCCTGAAGAGTAAAAAGACCAGACAGGATTCTTTAACGTCTGCTCTGACCTCATTTCTGACCTGCCATTCACCTCTGATATCCCCAAACACTCATTCGTGATTATAAATATTGAAAACTAAACGTATCTAATGAAAGGAGTAATAGATGATATTCATTCAACCTTTATTTATACAGGTTAATCCCACTGAGCCTCAGGAACTCATTTACAAGAGAGACCTGAATTTTAACAAAGAGTGATGACAACAGTGGACAACAATAGACAATCATAAAGGATATGTACAAATATATATATATATATTTTTTAACAAGAGAAAATAAAATGGTAATTAAAAGGAAAAGTAGTGAAAAACAGCTAAATTATAAGGCGGTGTAGAATACAAACAGGAACATAGCTGCGTTGGTTTTTCCCAGGAACTTAGCAGATGTTTAAAGTCACTTAGAGAGGTCAAGGTCGAGAGCTTCAGATCTTTTTGCAAGATATTCCAGGAAACAGGAGCGGAATAGGAGAAGGCCCTTTTGCTTAATTCAGTCCTTATGGAGGGAACACTGCAGGTAATAATGTCCTGAGAGCACACGCTGTAGCTGCACTCATGCAATGACATGTGGAAGGAGATGAATGAAGGCAACAGACCAAGAAGTGATTTGAAGATGAAAATGTACCAGTGAGAGAGTCTGCATGAAGTTAATGATGACCAGTTAACCAGTGAATACAGGGTGCATTGGTTGGAACGGTAATTACAGCCAGTTATGAATCTTAGCGCGCCATGATAGACAGCATCCAACATCTGCAGGGTGCTTGTAGGAGAGTTCATGTAAATAATGTCACCATAGTCATTGGAGGGAAGGAAAGTCTCAGTTACAAGGCATTTCCTAGCATTCAGAGTTAAATGGGATCTATTTCTGAAAAAGAAACCCAGTTTAACTTTTAGTTTTCTTACTAAGTTTTCCACATGGAGCTTAAAAGAGAGATGCAAATCTACCAAGATACCCAAATATTTGTAGGAATCGACAAACTCAATAGGGACATTATTAGAGGATAAAATCAGAGGAAAATCAGAGAACTGCTGGGACTGACTTCCTGTTTGAAAAAAAAAGCATATCTTTGGTTTTATTGGCATTTAGGACACGTTTTAGATGGAGCAAGTCTGTCTGAATGATGTCATAAGCGGATTACCAAAGTTGGAAAACCTTTGCAACTGTTTTAGCTCGACAATGAACAACTGTGTCATCAGCGTAGAAATGTAAGGATGCATCAGGGATGCTTTGACCTACATTACCTATGTAGATTGTAAAGAGGGTGGGTCCTAAGACTGAGCCTTGTGGTACACCATTGTTGGCTGTTAAATAACTGAAGGAAACACCATTGTGTTGAACACATTGCCTCCGTTCTGAGAGATAGTTAGAGAACCAACCAATGGTGTGATCTGAGAAACCAGTTTCTGAGAGTTTGTGACACAAGATGTCTTGATCCACAGTGTCAAAAGCTTTAGAAAGGTCTAAGAAAAGTGCAGCACAATAATAATTAGCATTCAATGCTTCAACGATGTCATTAAAAACCTTCAGTGAAGCAGTCATTGTGCTTTGTTGCTTCCTGAAACCAGACTGATGGAGAGGTAAGATGTTAAATGTGTCCAAATACTTTTTGATTTGAGAGTTTATCAGTTTTTCTAGAAACTTGGCTACAATAATAATAAAAAAAGATATCCCTTGGGGGAAAGAGAGGGGGGGCATTTTGATAGAATAAATCGTCCAAGACGGTGAAAAAGCTGGAAAATTGACCTCAACTGTCCCACAATCCTCGGGACAAAAACATATCAGTCTGAGGTCAGCGGATGTTCTGAGTGATATTACGCCGTTTGTTTCCCTGATGTTTTATCATGACAGGCTGCCTGTGGTTACTTATCACAAACAAGTCAGAGGTCAGGCCTGACTTTTTACCCATTGAGTGTGTTCTATTAAATTAACCACAGGCTGTAATCTGAAGCAGAAGTGCCACTGAGAGCCAAGAGCTTTCAACTTTCAAACAGCTCAAAGATTCAATAACTTTACTCCCCGCTAACACAGAACTGTCTCAATTAAGCTTGTTTCAAACATGTAAGGAGGATCAAACAATCGGTGCTGTTTATATCCTCTGCCCTTTTTGTGAATTTTACTGGCGCTCTCAGCCGTTAGCTTCTTATTGATATTTCGAGTTCACGCGGTGACGGTAAACATATTAAACTGCAGGAAGGGCCGCGTAGACGTTTGTAAAACGGTTGAGGTCAGCTGCCGTATTTGAGCGTATACTGTAATAAAGACAGAGCCCTATTGAGAACTTCACTGACAGTCCCCAGAACAAGAGCAAAGCTTTCAAGGCTGACAGTGTACATGCCCCGGTGTGGTGGTTAAGTGGAAACAGATGGCCTCAGAGACCAAGGTGAGGGATTATCGTTTCAAGCAATGCTACAGAGGTTTTACTTTTACAAGCTTTACTCTCTAAAGAGTAGTATGCTTTAAATCGTTTTTTTTTTTTTTATGTTACATGCAGCATCATTATTGCTCGCCTCTAAAAGACAAACTTTTTTTTGTTTGTTTTGGCCATATTTTTGTGTTTGTTACCAAAATATGTAATGAATCACAAGGCAAGCCTTAATGAAAATTGCAGAAATAATAAATTACTTTGGGAACTTTTGTAGCTAACCTAATTTAAGATGACCACCATAACTGAACTATGTAACAAAAATAACTCAGGTCAAATTTACACAACTTGTGCTACGGTTTTGTAGCTGGTTGTCATTTACAATACATATCCCACTGCAAGAGCTCTTTGTGTAAAACTTTAGCATTAACTGTTGGAATCAACTTTGTCTGTTAGCAAAATGTTACATGAATGAATAAATGACTGTTTCAGGGAATATTTATTGGATATACAGCTACTAATGATTATTGGTTGAAGCCAATTTAATTCCAGCTGTTCATCACAGCTAATCAACAACAAGAAACACAAAACTGGCTCAGCTTAACAGAGTTTGTGCTAAGATTTGGTGTGATTGGAGCTGAAAGTTTTCCCACAACACATACTTTGAGTAGGGCATCTGTATGAAAATACACAACATTACTTTTTCACTCTTTGATCAATATGACTTAACAAAAAAAAAAATAAGTCTAAGGCAGTGGGGCAATATGCATTCCTTCATGGTAAGTCTTTAATTGTTTGAGCAATCATGACATGTTTTGCATTCCCCTTAGTGAACCATAAATCCCAAATCACAGAGGGAACAAGCTTTTAGGGCTCACTAGTCGTGACAGAACCTCACATGCAGGCATCCATCAATATCACTCCCCTTTTAACAACAGGAAATAATTGAGACCAATTTTCTCAAGGTCAGACAGTCATCTGATAAGCTGCTCTGAACTGCCAGGTCAAGGGTCGCAGCTACCGAACAAATACAATCATTATCCAGATCAAATGCTGTTTTAATGGAAAGCAGCACAAAATGACAAACGCTGGGCTTTGGTTGTGGTAAATGCAAAAGTATTTCACATGCACACAGCTAGAGTTGCCACGTAAAAGACAAAGGAAAAACTTTTTTTTTTTAGAAATGCACACTTAGATTTGTAATATTCTTTAGGGGGAATCTAGAAATACTCAACATTATTTCATGTAAAACTGAAAACATTTGCAACATTTTTGCAGTTCAGGGTAATTTCGGCAATACAGGTCAAGAAATACATATTTATGGTATCGCTTTACAAAAAGGCTAATAAATAGTTTATAGATACATTATTAAATTCTCTATAAACACTTCATAAATCATTAATAAAGGCCTATTATGCATTAATTAAGGGTGAGAAAGAGAAAAAACTGAGCAGTTTCTTGCTGGTGAGCCAAATCTGTTCATGTTATCTTAAACATTTCAGCCTAAGTTACTACCTTGTAAGCACAATAAGCGTTTGTAAATTTCTTGAGCATATAATGTTGTACTTTATCACTGCATTATATCTACAACTAATATTATATCCTAAAAAAATAGGTTTACAAATGCTCATTTTGCTTACAAGGTAGTAAGTTAGTCTAAAATGTTTAATATAACAACTCTAGATGAAATGTGCAGATTTGGCTCACTACTGGCAAGACAATTGTCAATTGTGTCTCTCTCTCACCCTTAATTAATGCATAATAAGCAGTTATTAATGATTTATAAAGTGTTTATAAAGGAATTAATAACGTATGGGTAGCTTTATTGTAAAGTGGTACCATATTTATTCATGCTATGGTGCTGGATCCTTAAATCTAATTAAGACTTCACAGAATATGAACAGGTCAAACTTGTGGGGTGAGAAATTAAAAGGTGAGTTCAATGTTTTTATCAATGTAAATTGATTCCCTTGCATTTGTTTAATGGTTTTTGAGAACACTGGTTTTGATTTGGCCTGATCAGTCAAACAGACACTCACCCAAATTGACAAAACTCATGACCATGTCTGCGTCATTGAGGAAGTTGGTGTCTTGCGCCGTGGTGAGAGTCGGACTGTGGCCCAGCAGAGGAGCCCGGTAGGGCTGTGCCACGCGGGTGTAGCCCGCATGCTGGGGGCTGTAGTAACTTTTCCTGGAGTGTCCCTGAGCCTTAGCACCGAGGCTCTTCCCTGCGCCCTGATGCATCCCCCTCGCCACCACCACCTCCTCCTCCTCCTCCTCTTCCTCCTCCACGGCCATGGCGTTGTAGAGGTCGAGCATGAAGAGCGGCGCGGAGGACGCCTGCTTCCCGGGAGAGAAGGGCCTCGGCCGGTGGGGCAAGCCCAGGATGGAGAGGATCTCTCTCTGGATCTCCCTGCGCTCGTGATTGCGCAAGCGCCTGTAGATGAAGCTGGAGTGCACATGGTTGTCCGTGACGGCGCAGAACGCGCAGGAGAGAAAAGCCAAGCAGCTCCACGCAAGAGCAGCGCGCGCTGTCATCCTGACAAATGGCTCACTTTGAGATGAGTGACCGGGGGGGGGGGGGGGGGGGAACTACATGGCGCTCTGTGAGAAAGCAAAATATTTAAAAGGCTGCCAACAGAGGCACAACTTTCACAAAAGTTTTGTTTGTAAAAACGAATGGGAAAAAAAAAAAAAAGTAAGGCGCTCCTGTGCGCGAGGCTCCCCTGGTTGTATTTACTCCTCAGAGTCTCCCGAGTATTTATGGAGCTGTGACCCCGTCCCTCACCTTACTCCTCTGTCAGGGAAAAAAATCCTGTAGGTACGCCCAGGACGTGGAGGGATAATAAGTTTCCGAGTGGATGAAATGTGGTGAACTGTGTCAAAAACGAGGGGGAAGAAACACACGACTTATGCCTCGGCTGTCCCCCCCCCCCACCCACCTTCTTAAAAGCCTATTGGGACCAGTAGTTGGCCTTCGGGTCCATCCCACACTCAGCTTTTGTGTTTGCATCCTCCTCCAGCGGCCGCAGTTAAACTTCAGCCCTGCTCATGATGAATGTGGAGCTCGGGAGTGTAAAAGGAGACACTTGAAATCTGAGAGCGCCGTCTTAACGAGTGAAAGAATAATGACAGAGGCTTTTAATCACCTCTACTTATTGAAGTCTGCAGCTCACAGGAGAGAGGACTCCCAACTGTGCTCACTGGAAGGACTGCAGCGTGGAATGAGTCAAAGAAATACACCAACAAACTAAAAAAATACCCACCGTGTTGTAGAAAAGCATATTTAAGCAAACAGGGCTGACACAAAACAGAATAATGTGGCGAGCTGCACACCAAGGGCGTTTTAGTTGCAATATTTTTTAAACGAAACAACCTAAAACTACACCTTTACACACAAACTGAACAGTAAAAATCAACCCACCACTTCGCGTGGAAGCGTTTTAGATCATCATCATCTCTGAGGAGAAATGATGGAGCGGGAGCCGATTTGATCAAACTTTAACAATAAAACAAACTATCAGTTGCAGATGTGCATCCATTGATTATTTCTTATAAAATCAATCTAGTGGTTGAGATGTTTTGCCAACAAGCATAGTGGACTTCTAAAGTTAATGCTAAAGTTTACACTTGAGATCTTGCACACTGAGGAGCACATGCACGTTGTGATACTCTCGGCCACATCAAATGTGAGCACATGTGTAAAATTGACAGAATTATCAAGGTTCGTCATTGTCATTCGCATCACGTGTGGTACATGAGGTGGAATGAAATTGTGTACTCAAGGTCTCAGTTACAACCAAAAATAGCAAAAATATAAAGTATGAAATAAGAAGAAACAAGGATCTAAGATATTTTGTATATGCTAAACAATAATAATGTAATATAATACGGTGTAGTAAACAGCAGCCTGAACATGAGTCAGTTGTGAGCACCTGAGTATGAATACAGCAGCTTAAAGGCAAGAAATCAGCAGCATGGATAATCAGCAGCACAGATAAAGTGACATCACAATGATTTTCCTGCTTAGGGATTTATGAGTCTGACAGCTTCAGGGTAGAAGCTGTTCCTCAGTCTAGTGGTTCTACACGTAATGCTCCACAACCTTCTGCCTGAGGGGAGTGGGGAGGTTGCAGTGCATTAAGTGTAGAACCACTAGACTGAGGAACAGCTTCTACCCTGAA